AAAAAAAAAAAGAATTTGTGTAGCAAATGTATTTTTGTTTTGGAACAAGTAATATCTTTGCTACAAACTCTCTAGAGAGTTGATAAGCCAAAGGTGGTGATTAWATCATTATATGTGAAATGGGATAAACAGGAAAATGGCTGATTTTGCCCCAGTTTTTCTAGTGTTGTATAAAGCTGTCATGTACTGCAGAAAGAAAGAAAACCCAAAAAATATGTTGTTACCGTTCCCTATGGCAACCCTATGGCTGCATTCCTAATTAAGATCAGTACAAAAATTTGAACCATCAGAAAATTCTGTTTGGGTTCTAAAATCTTTGTAATGCTGGCTGCATTTATAAGTAGGTGAAGCTGTAAACMGCATAGTTTTTTCACTTAAAATTATTTGTAGAATGAACAGGACATATTCCTAATTAGTATTTGCAAATAATTTAAAGCTTTATATGGGAGAGGACACTTTCAGATGTCATTAACAAAAGTTTGGGGGTTTTTTTGTATGCTGTTCTCATCACTTAAAACAAGAGCATCTTATTTTGAGAGTTTTGAGTTAAGGTGATGACAGAATTAAAAAATCACAACATAAATTTTTGTGGGTCATAGAAAGCATCTTTAGAATTAAACATGCAGCTGTGGAAGTTAATTCATGCCAGTGACACCGCATTCCAGCCCTGTCCAGGTGACTATAGGGCATTTTTTTTTTTTTTAAATAATACCCATAGGCAGCTAGGAAGTAGAAGACTTTCAGATAGTTTCAAGTTTTCCTTAGGATGAGGATTGTCTTACCACTCTTAACAGCTTTAAGGAAAAAGCCTTTAGGCTGCAACTTATGTCAAGGCTCTAATTTAGAGTTCTCCGAGATCCCTGTAAAATATTGCTGCAGGCCCAGAGGAAGACTTAGTATAGGTACATGCATCTGAAAGGAGAATTAAGCACTTATGTTTAACTGGCACTTAATTTTTATTAGCCTAACATTCCACTTTCAGGCAGCATGGAACTAACTCCAGAAACTTGACATGCTAGCCGGTACAAGTGAATATGAAACACTAATTACTTCCATTGGCAATGATGAAACATCTAGTGCATATATGGGCCTAACTCATGAGAGGCAGGGACAGCATGATAGGTACATCTCAACTGTCTCATCACACTGTGTTTAACCATAAATGTCTCAAAAAGGAATCTTTCTTACTGCCTACAAGTACAGGACAGTATTGGCAGCTAATATACCCAGGCTTGGGTAGAATATCAGATCCAGCTGGTAGGCTCACATATGATAAGTTGTGGACTCAGKTCTCACTTCTGAATTCTGCCCTAGTGGTTTTATTTGCCTCATTTAACAATGGCAAATATATYCCAAGGAAACCGTCAAATGGTTCCTTTTGCTCTATTCCCATTTTGCCAAGCCAGACTGAACTTTGAATAGAGGTTAAGTGCCACTGGAGAAAACAAAATATGAAATTCTGAAGGTTAACCTCAAAATCAATGTCATTGTTTACCCTAAATGGAGATGTTAATGTAAACCACCTCCTATTTAGAGAWAAATTCAGGTATAGCCAGATAATACAAAAAGGAAAATTACCCAGTGGTGTTCAGTAGCTCTCACAATCAGCATAACCAAATGCCTGATACTTTACCTTCAACAAAGATTGTCGTAGGGGAGTACTTGAAAAATATACTGAAAGGATATCAATTTATTATCTCTTTATTCTGCATGTCTGTAAAAGTTGATAATTTTGCCCGGCAAGTTCACCCAGTCATCCCATATTTAAAAGTATTGTTGAAGCATAAACTTAGGCTAAATGGGATACTAATGGAGACCATAACAGAAGTGCTTACCCCTTTAGGCCTCTCCTGTGTGGAGGAATTACAGGGCCTAAAGGGGTAAGTTCTCTGATTTTAGCTGGAGGGGAAATGGAGGCAGAGGTCAGTGGGCAGGATGTTATTGCTGGTCCGTATGTATTTTTCAGTGTTGAAAGAAAGCCATGCACATCTCAGTTTACTCAGTGTAGGACATTGCCTAGCAAGTTGGAAAAATGATAAACTTATTTCATGTATAAAGTGTATTTTTTTTTGCATACACTTTTCAGCCAGAACATTTTCCTCATGACAAAATGTAACTTTGTCCAAAGAATGAAAATATATATATATTTTTTAATCAGAGGAGCAAACCTTGACTGAATCGGGGATAGATAGAAACAGTGATCACCCAAAAGCTGATCCAGACTCATACCAGTTGATGGGGGATTTCCCCTCAATGAGCATAGTTGTTACTTTTAGGGTAGAAATGACTGTCCTCCTAAGTAGTGACTTTCCCATTGCAGAGAAAGCCTAAGAACTTGAATCATGTTCCCCAAAAATACACCCACCCGAAGCTCATGGATAAGGAGGATTCTACTGTGGTAGCTTGATCATAAAGCACAAAAACTTTAATTTGTAGTTAACTGGCATTGGAGCCCATTTATCACAGAGGTCTTGGTACAATCTCCAGGGCTGCAGAGGAGGAAAAAAAGGCAATCATCCTTTAATTATTGGTGTGGAACTGAAAAACAGAAGGGGTAAAATAGTGAAGGCTACAGTTGAAAAGGGATGATGAATTTAAGTTGGAGGACTTCCCTGAAAGAATTCTGGTACTTTGAACCTTTTAAGCACCATGTGCTAGTCATTGCCATGTATTTTGGGTTGTGGGGGAGGTGGAATCTACCAACCAGTCCTCACCTCATCTCTGTCATGACACCAGGACTTGTTGAATTGGGAGTTCACTGGCACTCTCTTAGATAGTTTTGCAAAACATTCAGTATCTTCTTGGTGCCTGACAATGCACAGCCTCGGTCTAGAGCTACAAATGTGTTCATGTGGGTGAGTTTTGATTCAGGAGAACAGCAATTATGTAGTACCCTGCAGCTGGGGGAAGAAGTTCTAATACTACTTCTCTACTCTTGAAGAAACCTGATAAAAATTTTAGTTCTACTACATGTGTCCGTGATTCCCAACCCTTACGCCTTAGCTATTAAGAAGGGCCCACTGGGAGGGAAAACCCCAGAATATTTTCCAGTCCTGCCTCTGTAATTAAAAGGTAAAATGTTTTTTAATTCTTCTAATACAGAATGTTCAGGCACAGCCTTGGTTTTGCTCTCCAGTGTATCTGAGACTGTGACACCTATGTGGCCTGTTAACTCCCAGTGACACCTCTGTGAGACCTTTAACATGGGACCTGAACACCAAAGCTTTGTTGTGGCAAGCTAATCAGCAATCCTTTTAGATGTTGGAGACGGACAGATTACATCAAGATTTCCCCTGAAGAAGGAAAGGAGAAATCTGGGGTGCCAGAATATAAGCAAGTCCACTGTCTACAAAAAAGAAAAAATGATAGGAAAATCTTATAAAAACAACTGCTTGGGATCTTACTGATGGACAGAAAAGKTGCGGGAGTGAGAAAGTGAGTGCTGAAAGTAGAAGCAAGACCCTGCTGGGCACAGTGCACAGAGCCTGTGTTTACACACTGTCYGTTACCCCAAGAGGAAGAGCRGGATCCTGTAGATACAGTCTTCATGTCAGCAAGGCCACTCACCCCAGGGTCTGAGTACGAGGCACTCCATTGTCCAAGGGCTGATCTAACTGCCAACCTTCCCTTTCCTCCTCCCAGCAGGTTCAGTAGCCTGCTAGAGTTTTGCCCCCAGGGGCCAGAACTTTGGTGCCTGAGTGCTCATTAAAGTGAAGTTTCATTGGTGTGTGGCCTGGAGTTCTCCTCCTCTAGCAGAGCTATTCTTTGCTTGAGCATCCTCACTTGGGTCTCATGCCTCTCCACCATGGCCATCATCTGAGACTCCAACTTCTTCAGCTTGTTTTGGTGCTTCTTCTTTGCTTTCTCATAGGCAGCTACYAGGTTGCTAAGTAGGAACAGAGGGAAACAAGAACATGTGTATTAAGTAGCATGAGACACACTGTCTTGTCTGATGGCTAGCCAGGTCTAGTGAGCTCTGATCTTGAGAAAGATCATGCATGCAGCCTGATCTTCAGTAAGACTCTGGAACCAGGTAATTTTGAGAAGCACAATGCCAGGGATTTCCACACTAGGGCTCATCATCTACTGGCCTAACCATGACTAATTCAGTCACACTGCTAACATTAGGAGGGGTTGTGGATAAGAGTCAGCCAACAATGCAGAAAAGGTAGCTGAAATCTGTTACTTAAATACAAATAGTGGGTCTACTTGTTGTCCTAGATGGTCCATCATCATCCAGAGGTGATGCAATGGAAGTGACCTCACTTAGGATCAGGGAGAGATGTCAAGCTTTGTGTAGTTGGATTCAGAGCATCCAGTTAGGCCATAAGAAAACTGTGTCCAGCCCAGTAAGTACAACATGGGCCTTGGTGAACTGTTTGTGCACAAGAGTCCCATGGATTGGGTCAGGGATTGAAACCCAGTAAGTCTAGATATGCTCGCTATGCTCTCTGGTCCCAAACTGCACCTAAACCCCTTCCATGTACATCTATATTACCCCTTAAGCTGCTCTTCAGGGGGTCTGTGAAGTCTGAACCTTTTACTACACATCTATATGAAGTCAGATGTTCTCAATATACTTCAAAATATTTTGGCTACATAGAGATTAAATTGGACATAGTTTTGGAAAACTAAAAAGTGTCACTCATAATAAAAATACCATTCGTATTACATCTAATTAATTTTTTTGTAAATGAGTAAAAACTTTCCAACACTTGTCTTAGTTTTAGTTTGATAGAAATATCAATAAAGATAGTTTACAGGGACACAAGCTCACAGAGGTCCTCTATTTCTGGGGGGGGGTGAGGGGGCACAATACGGAGATTGAACCCAAGGGTGCTCTCCATTAAGCTACAACCCAGCCTTTTTATCTTCATTTTGAGACAGAATCTGGTTTCAAACTTATGGTCTTGCCTAAGCCTACAGAGTTGCTAAAATTACTGGCACATTTGGCAAGGTCCTCAATTTTTTACAAATATAAAGGGGTCCTAAGCCCAAAGTTTTTGAGACTACTATCTAATAGTGTCCTAAGAATATCCCACTGGATATTAAATATTGCTCAAATATATGGTTCCACAGTCAATTCTGTTGGAAAACATTGTCTTAAACAGATTTTTAAAAATTATATGACTTCTCAGAACCTTTACTATATGAAATATCCAGAAGAGACTACAGCTGGGCACAGTAGTGCATGCCTGTAATCCTAARGTAGGAAGATTGCAAGTTTGAGACCAGTCTGGGCAATTTAGTGAGACCCTATCTCTAGAAGTAAGGGATAGGGATGTTGTAGCTCAGTGCTATAGCACCTATTGTTTTAATCCCTAGCACTGGAGGAAAACCAGTATGTTTTATTTTCTACACAGTCAAAGGATCTATCTTCACTGAGCATTTAGGTTTCTGTACAAAGCCCTGCAAGATGCTGCTTTCAGGAAGAGTGGATGATGACTCCCCACTGTCTACAGTTGCTTCCCAGGAGTTCCAGAGTGGCCATCCCTGGTGAGACATGACCTTGAGGTGGGCTTGGTCTAAGTGCCACAAGGATGTACAGGGGTGTTTTTACCTGTTGGCCCGCTTTAAGTCATTAACAAACTCTGCTGACTGCTGATGTCGAATTTCACTGCTCTTTGTGAGTCTTTCCAAGGCACTCACCAGCTCTTGAACTCTGGCCTTCAACTTCTTTTCTCTGTATCCAGGAGAGAGAGAGAGCACATACCATGAATAGCTTGAGATGACAGTGGAGGTGCTGCTCCCTCTGAGATGTGATGGGAAAGGCAGACATGTKGCTTGCCAAGTCACAAGGCCAGGGCATGGAGAGTGAAGAGGGCTCAGCAGAGCCAGCATGAATGCCTCATCACTGCATTTTCAAAGGGAATTAGAGCCTGTTTAGTAGGTGCCCATAGAGATCTTAAGTATGTTTCAAAGTTGGAACAAGACAGGAATTTCTACTACTGGCATATCAGGTTCTTGGCCATGAGTGCAGCTTGACCACAAATCCATCTTGGTCTCCGCACGCATTTTTTCCAACTGTTCTAAGTAGCTGCAGAACMACTCAGGGATTCAAGACAGAAACCTCTGTCTCACCTGGACTGCCTACCTTAGACATTCTCCCTACTCGAACCAACACATCCTACCTACCTCAAAACCAAAAAAACAAAACAAACGGTACTAGTGGAAAAGGAATAGAAATTATACTGTTCTCATTTTAAAGATGCCTTTATTTTCCATTAACTGAAGTTCTACTGGACTTCATTTGACTCCCTCGTTTCGATGCTGAAGTGGCTTAAAAGTTCCATGGGTTCTGTACTACTGTAGTAAACCATGCTAGAGGAGTCAGTGAAAGATGGTTTTTAGAGTCCAGTTAGTTTACTGCCTTCCTCTAATTCCCACCAGTGAACAAGACCCAGGCAGGAAAACAATTACCACCTTCCCTGACATTGAGTGCATAGGGCTGCTCTGGGTCATAACAAAACTCACCACAATCTACTARGTTAGCTTCGGCACCAAGCACCATGCCTCCACGGCAGCTTCTAGTGATAGTCCAGGCTGATTCAGAACTCATAAAATTATTCGGGAAGCCAGGATTTAGGGAAGGAATTCCTCTAAAAAGCACCATATGTGAGGTGCTTTTCATTCAGCTTGGTTCATTTGTATGCCAGTTTGGTAGTCCCTAGCAAACACGTCCTTGACTAAGCAATGTGATTTCTATGATTATCTCACAGAGTAAATATGATTGTAGGCACGTAAATTAAAGCTAGATTCACTTAAGCTTTGGTTACAATAATTAACAAAGTGAAACACTTAAGGGATTGGTTAAATTAATCAAGGTACATATATGCTACTGAAATGGGCTGCTTTAAAAAAAATATATGTTAACCGAGTGTGGTGGCGCATGCCTGTAAATCCCAGCAGCTTGGGAGGCTGAGGCAGGAGGATCATGAGTTCAAAGCCAGCCTCAGCAAAAAAAACATGGCACTAAGCAACTCAGTAAGACCCTGTCTAAATAAAATACAAAATAGGGCTGGGGATATGGCTCAGTGATTGAGTGTTCCCGAGTTCAATCCCTGGTACTTTAAAATGCAGATTGACTATATTAAGTGAAAAGAATAAATTCTATAGAATATTTTGTAAAAACAATTAGAAATCTGAATAAATATTTGCTACATTGTAACAAACTACATTGTATGGAACTTAATAATGGTTAACTCACAAGAATGAAATGCAGAAGGCTTTCATTTATACTTAACTTTTGCACTGCAGTGCTTGAAATTTGTATGCTTTCCCTACAGTATGTGAGTTAATCACAGCTGTGCTTCTTATAGGAGTGGGATGGGGAGGCAACTGCACAATGAAAGACTCTGAGGTGCCCAGATGGTCTAGACCCTGCTTCTCCCTGGTTTCTCCAGTGTATATAATCTTTCAACATTTCTGGAGCTACTATAAGGGGAAAATCCTCAAACTGATGAGTGAAGGAGAGAAATGCAACACAAATACCCAGGCCTGCTTTTGTGAGAGGTAGGAGGGGGTTGAGACCTGTAAGGGAAGCTTGGTAGTCAGTCCACAGTGCATGGCTTATTCTTCAATGAGTCCTCTCACCTTCCTTAGCTATTCGGGAAGGCCTAAGGGCTGGCGGGAGCCTTGCTGCTCTGTAGCCTTCCTCTTGAGGAATGTTTTTTTTTTTTTTTTTTCCCCTGGGCCCCAGCAGCCACCAGATTGCCAAATCTGGTTGCATTTCCCACTGGAATCAGAGGGTGGCAGCATTTCCTACCAGAGTGAGAAAGTATTGCCAGGAGGTTCCCTTTCTCCTTCCCTCCCCAAGGTTTCCTCATAGCTTTCCAAGCAGTCCACCAGCTAAGGCAAGGGTAGAGAGTGCCAGGCCCCCACCCTACCCCTGTCCTTCCCTCTGACTAAAAAAAATAGGGTAGAGTTATTCTATATTTTGTCTCTGTTCTGATTCCTTTATCTTCCATTCTAAAGTTGATTAACTGTACAAAGGAAAAAATCAAATTATGAAGAGAACTAAAAATGTGACCATGAATTCAAATTGAGAACAACAAAATTTTACCCAGAGAAAGCCCATTCCTCTACCCTTCCCATTTCTTCCAATGCCCCTGAAGACTTAAGGGCATGCAAATTCTAGCCCTACCATAAACAAACGGCTTTTTTCACCCCAGCATTCAGGTCCACCATGGACTGGAACAGAAGGAACTTTCCAGACCTAGAAAGCTCTAAAAGCTAACAGAATCCCAGAAAGGCAGGAGAGGCTCTCTGATCCTGCCCAACCCCAGCTGGGGCTACTGCCCAAGGTGCTTAGAACAGGATGGCAGAGGGGAGTACAAACCCCAGCAAGAATTATGTCACTGTTTTAAAGATGCAAAAAAACTTGGCCAAATCCCAAACCTACGATCAGGGTTGCTTTACCTGTTTTCATTCATTTGGCTGAAGTAGACCCTGCAGTAATAAGAGGCATGACTTCATCACTTACCTAGATCTAAACTGTGAAGTAGCAACTTCCTAGACTTGCAGATCTAACAGTATGCAATAATATAGCCTCTAGGCTCAAGTGGCTTTCTGAGACCTGATTAGGGGGATGGGGGTTGAACTGAATAAATATATGCCGAAAGTGTAAAATGCACACTGGAATTTGAAGCCTCAATGAAATTCCTCACTAATACTTTTTAAAATATTGGTTACATATTGAAATTTTTGTGTTTTTTTTTTATGATACTGGGAATTGTTCCAAGGGCAAGCATTCTACCACTAAGCCTATGACCCCAGCCTGAGATATTTTATATATTGGGCTCAATATGCTATTAAATTACAATCAGGAACTTTTCTTTTTTTTAAGGGGGGAGTGCTGGGTCTTGAGCCCAGGGCCTCACACATGCTAGGCAAGCACTACATCATAGCCCTATTGTTATTATTACTTTGTATTTTGTGGAATCTAAACAATGTAAAATCATCCTGAGTCTCAAATGGAAGTCATACATATATCAGAGGATAGCACTGCTCTAAAGCATTTGTTTAAAGGGATATCATCATTTCCCTAGGTTCTTGTTTCATTAGGTTTGGGTGAGACAGGAATTGCAGTTCATGAGGTGCTCCAGGTGATCCATGATTAGGCAACTTTGGGAAACTAATATGGTAGAAAGGGGTTCTTCACCTTGATCTGAAGACAAACTCCGTGTGCTCCTGAGACTCCCTGATTTTCATGATACATGCAAAACCRTAGTATGGGCATTCCTTAGTCCTTGAGTAGACAGCTTTCCTCATTCTCAAGTGATATCTTGGGAAATGCTAAAAACCACAACTGGCCGATTCAAGTCACTTTGAAACCTCAACCATTCATGTCCTCTTTTGGTTTCTAATTTAATTTACTTGGCCTTCAGTTAAGAATTTATGTGGTTTGTATACATAAGATAGTAAGGTTGCAAGGACTGGTAGCAGCAGCAGGATGACACTCAGCCTCCAGGGTCTGCTGGTGGCAGTGGCCTCTGGAGGTACAGTGGCTGGTGGACAGAAGAGTTGGGGATTGAATGTAGCACTTTGAACATGCTGAGTGAGTGCTCTGAAGCCAAGATAAGCCCCTATGCTGGGGCACGTATAAAGAGAAAGTAGCTCACTAACAAACCTGTTGTAACTGTTTCAGTAGGTGCTAGAGATACCTGTCCCAATAAAAGAACAACTTTCAACATAGAAATGCAGATGACAAGGCCATAAGATGCCTCTTTATAAAAGTTCACRTCTTCCCAACAAATAAACCCAAAGACACTGAAGTGGAGGAAATGCTAGGTAAAGAATTTAAAAATTGTTTGTTAAAATAATCAACAAATTAAAASACCTAAAGAAGAAAATGCAGGATATGAAAGAGCATTTCAATAGTGAGATGGAGAAATCTTGGAGCCTGTAACCCCAGCAGCTTGGGAGGCTGAGGCCAGAGGACTGAGTTGAAAGCCAGCCTTAACAACTTAGTAAGGCCCTAAGCAACTTAGCAAGACCCTGTGTGGCTCAGTGGTTAAGTAAAAAAAAAAAAATAATAATCTTGGAAATGCAAAACCCAGTTAGCCAAATAAAAAACTTACTGGGTGTCTCTCAGAAGAAAGAATGTCAAGGCTGGAAGATAAAGTGCAGGAAGTAGAATACTTAGTAATAAAGGTGGGGTGGGGAGAGAAAGAAGAGACTATAAACAGAAAGTACAACATTAAAAAGTTGTGTAACTTGTAGTTATACTGCTAACAAAGCAGTACAACATTAAAAAGCAAAACTTAAGAATCAGGCCTTGAAGAAGAAGGGGAAATACAAAGTAATGGCATATTTTACATATTCAATAAAGTAATGGCAGAAATTTTTCTTATCTTAGGAAGGAGATGGACATAYAGGTACTGGAAACATTTAGAAGTCCAACTAGGACCAGAAAAGAACTCCATGACATATTACAGTTGAAATGCCAAAAATTCAGAACGAATTTTAAAAACTGCAGGAAAAAAGTACCAAATCACTTATAGAGAAAAACATCTGAACAACAGATTTATTAGTAGAAACTCTAAAGGCTAGGACAGCATAAAATAATGTTATTTCAAGCTGGGCTGGGGGGTGGCACTGCCAACCTAGATTACTACAACCAGCAAAGCCTTCCTTTAGAATTAAAAACAAATAAAAATCTTCCAAGATGCATAAACTAAAGGA